GGGCACTGCCCGAGGGCCCGGGGTCAGTAGGGGGCCCCATGAGATTCCCCTGGTACCTTTTTCATAGGCTTTTTTGAGTTTGGGCAAGGACACAGGGGCCTCATGATCCCCTATTGCCCGGGGGCCCCATGAGTTGTCAGTCCGCCCCTGGGCAGGGCTAACTTAAACTTGCTTTTATTCAGCAGTTTGTGGTCTGTTTTCCTAAAGCAGTGTTTACACTAAACAGGGCCTGTGATGGCAACTGTCAAAGTACTACTAAGTAAAAAGGCAGATATTTGATTGCCTAGTATCTCTGGGTATTTTTAAAGTGTTTATGTTTTAAAAGTACATCTTTCCTCTAAGATGCAAGCAGTTGGCAATGGATTCTGTGTTCCATTGTCCAGTGCCTTTGTGATGAGAATGCTGCAACCTCCTGTGCTGAAGTAGGTGCTGGTGATGGGTTGCTATGCCTCAGTGCTACAAATCAATCCCTGAATCAAGTGTAGGATACAGTGATTTTCTTGCATCTGTTTGAGAGAACAATTATTACAGATGATCTGTGCTTATTTGAGGAAATAGATTCTTTTTTTTTCCCATACTGCAAAAATGAAAAGGAAAATCTGATCAATACTTAGATAAGTCATCCCCTTGTTCTCTATGGACAGGAAGTGATGGTATCTCTTAGATTGTAAGCTCCAAGAATCAGGGCCTTCCTAACCCTCTTGTATTGAACTGTATTGTTGCTGTATTGTCTCCCGTTATATTGTAAAGCACTGAGCAATCCTGTATAATAATAATAATAATAATAATAATAATAAAAATCTCCATGGGTGTGCCACAGGCAGCAGTAAAAATTGCTATAGAGTTTTTTAATCCTTTCCTCGCAATTATCAATAGAGAAGATGGACAACTTTCAGGGTGCATGAACATGAATACCAAACATATATTAAAAAGTTATATAATTTTTATTTCGTATTTTTGTAAAAAACACAAAAGGAAAAATACAGAAACATAAAAACAATTTCAGTACTAAGATTAAAACTGAGATTCAAACTTGGTTATGTAATTGTAGTTACTCCCTACATGTTTCGCCCTCACGGGCTTCTTCAGGGGTGATTTTTTGGAAGAAATTTCTACTGCCGAGGCAGTCTAAAGGTATATCAAAGGAAAATTATACAATTACCAAACACCTTTAATATATCCAATACAGAGTATTTAATCAAATCTATATATATATATATATATATATATATATATATATATATATATATATGGGACTCAATGGCTCATCCTGGATGTGAAAGCCTACGAAGCTAGGAGAAAATGACCTAACAAAGATCTTAATTGGCCTACACGTCCAAAACAGTTGTAGAGGATATAATGGGCATCAAATATCATCTAGGCATAATAGGATAGACTAAAAAGAAATTAAATTTAATGGAAGATATGAAGAAGAGATCATAATTTATTAGGTTAAGGTTAACTTTGGGCAATTTTACCTGTTAAATGCTTTAGAAGGATATAGGTAAACCTAACAAAGATCTAATTGACCTATGCATACACAACCATAGGAGAGGAAACAAGGGAAATCAAATGTCCATCTAGACATAATAGGATAGACAAAGAGATCAGAAAATAATTTAATTTAAAAAAAGAAATCAAAAGGTGTTAATTAATAAAAATTAACTTAAGCGATTTTACCTGTTGAAAATTGCGGAGAAATATAAAAGTATATCCTGTTAAAGGTCTAATTGGCCTATAATGTCCAAAATGGTTGAAGAATATAATGGGCATCAAATATCCATCTAAGCATAATGGATAAAGTTGGCGAATGTAATGGGCATCAGATATCCATCTAGGTATAACGAAATAAGCATAGGGGGATCAAAAATTTATTTTCCTCACAATTCAAAATGAATAAAGAAAAGCATGCTGAATAAGTATTATTACAGTTTGTTCCTCTGTGATGTGACTGCTTTCTAGTGAATTGATTAACTGCATTATTTCAGCACAGTGGCTAAATGGTTAGCACTTCCGCCTGGCAGTACAAGGGTCGTTGGTTCGAATCCAAACCACGGCACCACCTGCCTGGAGTTTGCATGTTCTCCCTGTGCCTGCGTGGGTTTACTCCAGGTACTCCGGTTTCCTCCCACACTCCAAAGACATGCTGGTAGGTTAATTGGATCCTGTCTAAATTGTCCCTAGTATGTGTATGTATGAATGTGAGTTAGGGACCTTAGATTGTACACCCTTTGAGGGTTAGGGACTGATGTGAATGTACAATACATATATGTAAAACGCTGCGTAAATTGACAGCGCTATATAAGTACTTGAAATAAATTAATAAAATAAATAAATTTCAGCTACAGCAAAATGTAATTCTCCTCTGCAATTAATGTTACTTATTGTATAAAATGAATTTGGTGGGCTTAAAATCAAAAGTGTAACATGACATTTTTATTCCCAAGGTTACTAATACAAATCTGTCTGTTTCTAGATTATGAAGTGACTCAAAAATGTGCAACAAAACTACTGAATATGAAAAACATTCATTATGAGGTTAAATGTTACACTCGAATGCCCAGCAGGTGGCGCCCTTAGTACATGTGATGTTAGTATCACTAGTGATGCCAGTTGCAGATTTTTCTGATCTTTGATTCTAGGTTCACATCTGGACGGGTGGTGCCGCTGAGGATCTGCACAAAAATCCATGCAGCTGCACCACCCGCACAGAGGAATGCGGACCCGCGGGCGGGTGTCATTCGTTCTAATGGCACGACAGCCGCACTGTATTATTATTTATTTATTTCAGGTATTTATATAGCGCCATCAATTTACGCAGCGCTTTACATATACAGTGGGGATCGAAAGTTTGGGCACCCCAGCTAAAAATTTGTATTAATGTGCATGAAGAAGCCAAGGAAAGATGGAAAAATCTCCAAAAGGCATCAAATTACAGATTAGACATTCCTATAATATGTCAACAAAAGTTAGATTTTATTTCCATCCTTTACACTTTCAAAATGACAGAAAACAAAAAAATGGCGTCTGCAAAAGTTTGGGCACCCTGCAGAGTTAATATCTTGTACTGCCCCCTTTGGCAAGTATCACAGCTTGTAAACACTTTTTGTAGCCAGCGAAGAGTCTTTCAATTCTTGTTTGAGGTATCTTTGCCCATTCTTCCTTACAAAAGTCTTCCAGTTCTATGAGATTTCTGGGCTGTCTGTCACGCACTGCTCTTTTAAGGTCTATCCATAGATTTTCAATTATGTTGAGGTCAGGAGATTGTGAAGGCCATGGCAAAACCTTCAGTTTACGCCTTTTGATGTAATCCCCTGTGGATTTTGAGGTGTGTTTTAGGATCATTATCCATTTGTAGAAGCCATCCTCTCTTTAAATTCAGCTTTTTCACAGATGGCATCAAGTTACCATCCAAAATTTGCTGAAATTTTATTGAATCCATTTTTCCTTCTACTCGTGAGATGTTCCCTGTGCCATTGGCTGCAACACAACCCCAAAGCATGATTGATCCAACCCCATGCTTAACAGTTGGACAGAGGTTCTTTTCATTAAATTCTGTGCCCCTTCTCCAAACGTACCTTTGCTCATTCCAGCCAAAAAGTTCAATTTTAACCTCATCAGTCCACAGAACTTGTTTCCAAAATGCATCAGGCTTGTCTATATGTTCATTTGCAAAGTTCAAATGATGATTTTTGTGGTGAGAACGTAGAAGAGGTTTTCTTCTGATGACTCTTCCATGAAGACCATATTTGTACAAGTATCTCTTTATAGTGGAATAGTGTACCACAACTCCAGTGTCTGCCAGATCTTTCTGGAGGGATCGTGCAGTCAAACGTGGGTTTTGAATTGTTTTTCTCACAATCCTGCAAGCTGTTCTGTCTGATATTTTTCTTGGTCTTCCAGATCTTGCTTTAACTTCCACTGTTCCTGATGACTGCCATTTCTTAATTACATTCCGAGCAGAGGATATTGACATCTGAAAACGCTTTGCTATCTTCTTATAGCCTTCTCCAGCTTTGTGAGCGTCAACTATTTTCAGTTTCAGTTTTCTAGACAACTGCTTAGAAGAACCCATGATGCTGATTGTTGGGGCAAGGTCAGATGAGTCTGGGCATTTAAAACCTTTGAGATTGACATAACCTGGTCTTCCCAGACCATGATTGAGAACAATCCATGACACTGGCAGGTCTCAGCTTTGCAAAGGGGGCAGTGCATGCTATAAATTCTGCAGGGTGCCCAAACTTTTGCAGACGCCATTTTTTTGTTTTCTGTTATTTTGAAAGTGTAAATGATGGAAATAAAATCTAACTTTTGTTGACATATTATAAGAATGTCTAATCTTTAATTTGATGGCTTTTGGAGATTTTTCCATCTTTCGTTGGCTTCTTTATGCACATTAATACAAATTTTTAGCTGGGGTGCCCAAACTTTCGATCCCCACTGTATATAGTACATTTAACATCAGTCCCTAACCCTCAAGGGGCGTACAATCTAAGGTCCCTAACTCACATTCATACATACACATATTAGGGCCAATTTAGACAGGATCCAATTAACCTACCAGCATGTCTTTGGAGTGTGGGAAGAAAACCGGCGTACCCGGAGAAAACCCACGCAGGCACAGGGAGAACATGCAAACTCCAGGAAGGTGATGCCATGGTTGGGATCAATAGTATCATCATCCTTACTGCAGCCTGACATTTAGATGCCCCATAGGGGCTGCTTGCTTTTTTCAGTATTGTAGTCACAGGAAAGTCTTAGTGGATCACTGTGGGTCCCCCAGGGTTTTGCTATAATGTGAAAGCATGTGCTGCATTTTTGCATAAAATGGCATAAACCGGAGTACCTGGAGGAAACCCACACAGGCACAGGGAGAACATGCAAACTCCAGGCAGGTGGTGCCGTGGCTGGGATTCGAACCAACGACCCTAGTAGTACTGCCAGGCGGAAGTGCTAACCATTTAGCCACTGTGCTGCCCTCACTGTAAATTGCAACCGAGGTTCCCGTTCGGGCTGCGTTTTCAGAAGAAGCGCATGAACTTCTATCCCTGTGTGTCACGGGGCACGGGAGTCCATTCAAATGAATGGGCTCTCGAGCCCGTGCAAAACACTGCCTGCACGGTCGCATATATGTGAACCAGGGCTTAAGACTGGGAGGTGGGCACTGTGTACCAGAGCATTCACTCTGGTACAGTCAAACTTGCATTTGCATGCATTTAAAGGGCATTTCTAATTGCATGTAATGATTTTTCAATGGTGCTATGTACACTGAGCCTTTACCTGCATTTGTGTGTTCAATTTAGCTGCGTTGAGATCAAATCGAATTCTGTGAATCCAGGCTCCAATTGCAAACCCTGGCGGCTTTCCAGCTGTTGCGAAACTACAAATCCCATCATGCCTCTACCTTTTGTAGTCTTGCTTGTAACTGTCAGTCTTGAAATGCCTCATGGGACTTGTAGTTTGGCAACAGCTGGAGGGCCACCAGTTTGACACCTGTGCCCTAAACGTATGTAAATACGTCTAATCCTGCAGACAAAATGTGCATAAACATGCCTAAATGTGGACAACCCTGCATTATTGCAGGAACATCTAAGGCCTTTTGCATACAGAGCCGTCTAGGTGCAGTGCATACAGTGATGACAGTGATGACTTCTGCCCAAGTTAAAGTGGCATTAAACCCCAAATCGAACATTTATTATATTGTATAATTACTAATATTGTATTATATTGTAGCTTACCATTTATTAGATGCAATGGCTGCATTAGTTCTCTTTCTTTCTTCTTTTTTTCTATCTGGAGATTCAGCCAGTAAGTCTGTTGTTTATCAAAAGAACAAGCTTTCCAGCAGAAGATGAGACCGGCCATTTAATATTGGCAGGTGTACTTACAATGACTAGCTTTTATTTATTTTTGTAAAGCCTTTATTCAAAAAGGAAAAAATATTGTATTCTGTGACTGCTTATAAAGTATTAGTAGGAGTGTGGTTTCAATTTGTTAGTGTATTTAAATCTGCTAGTACATCTAACACCCCCCCCCCCCCCCCCAGACTGACAATGCTGCTGTCCAAAGATGCCCCCTGTGCTCCTTCATCCAGAGTGTAGGCACTCTAATACAGGAATGCAGCCACCGCATCTAATGATTGGTAAGCTGCAATATATTACATTTTTGGGCTTAAAACCACTTTAAGATAAAACCCTCTCCTGGCACTTCAGTTTTAAAATGCTGGATCCTACACTATATTGCCACAAGTATTGGGTCACCTGCATTTCCACGCACATGAACTTTAATGGCCCCCTAGTCTTAGTCCGTAGCGTTCAATATTGAGTTGGCCCCGCCCTTTGCAGCTATAACAGCTTCAACTCTTCTGGGAAGGCTGTCTACAAGGTTTAGGAGGGTGTCTATGGGAAGGTTTGACCATTCTTCCTGAAGTGCATTTGTGAAGTCAGGCACTGATGTCGGACGAGAAGGCTTGGCTCACAGTCTCCGATCTAATTCATCCCAAAGGTGTTCTATCAGGTTGAGGTCAGGATTCTGTGCAGGCCACTCAAGTTCTTCCACCCCAAACTCACTCATCCATGTCTTTATGGACCTTGCTTTGTGCACTGGTGCGCAGTCATGTTGGAACAGGAAGGGGCCATCCACAAACTGTTCCCTCAAAGGTGGGAGCATGAAATTGTCCAAAATTTCTTGGTATGCTGATGCCTTAAGAGTTTCCTTCACTGGAACTAGGGGGCCAAGCCCAAACCCCTGAAAAACAACCCCATACCATAATCCCCCCCTCCACCAAACTTTTACATTTTGTCACAATTCAGTCAAACAAGTACCATTCTCCTGGCAAACGCCAAACCCAGACACGTTCATCGGATTCTGAGACAGAGAAGCATGATTTGTCACTCCAAAGAACACATCTTAACTGCTCTAGAGTCCAGTGGCAGCGTGCATTACACCACGGCATCTGACGCTTTGCATTGCACTTGGTGATGTAAGACTTGGATGCAGCTGCTCGGCCATGGAAACCCATTCCATGAAGCTCTCTATGCACTGTTGTTGTGCTCATCTGAAGGCCACATGAAGTTTGGAGTTCTTTAGCTATTGACTCTGCAGACAGTTGGTGACTTCTGTGCGCTTCAGCATGCGCTGACCCCCGCTCTGTCATTTTCCGTGGCCTACCACTTGGTGGCTGAGTTGCTGTTGTTCCCAGTTGCTTCCACTTTGTTATAATCCCACTAACAGTTGACCATGGAATATTTAGTAGCAAGGAAATGTCATGGATGGACTTATTACACAGGTGACAACCTATCACGGGACCACGCTTGGAGTCACTGAGCTCCTGAGAGCGACCCATTCCATCACAAATGTTTGTAGAAGCAGTCTGCATGCCTAGGGGCTTGATTTTATACATCTGTGGCCATGGAGGGGATTGGAACACCTGAATCGCATGATTTGGAGGGGTGTCCCGATACTTTTGAATATATACTGTATGTGGGCAATAGAGACTTGGGTTTGCTAATTAAATCTCAGGTGTGGTCTGTAGTGCAGGAAAGGGCAGGGCCTAGTCTTGATTTCGGACTATGACCAGTTTACAGTTTGGGTTTGAGACACAGATGGTCTCCACAGGGACACATTGTTAGGGAAGATATAACTTTTGATTTGTATTTTATTTTATTTTTTTTACACCTATCTGGATTTAAAGTGTTACTAAACCCACAACAGTAAAATCAGTCTGTATATGCAGTAAAGTATGCTTGTTATACTCATTGTGGAACCTAAGGGGTTAATCATCCGCATTGTGTAAAAAGGATGTTTTTATCCTGTCTTCTGTGATCCTCCCCTTCTTCTACTGTCTCCAATCCTTCTGCTGATAGAACAGAGCCTTAGGGGCAAGCTGCACATGTGCAGTTCATTGTGTATTGCTGGAGAGTTGTTTTTGTTTTCTACTTGGGAGAGTGCATGTGATCAGCACAAGGCCAATTGGCACTGTCCAGACAGAGGGTCAGTGGTTATGCAGCCTCGTATGACAATTAGGGTAGAATGAAAACTCCTCCTGCAAGCTTTAATCAGTGCTTTGCTGGACACTGATAGAAGTCACAAGACTGCTATGCACTGCTGATGAGAAGAGGTATTTAGCGGTTCATATTTACTAAAATAATTGCATTTCCATGTTGTGTGTACTGTGGGAGATATGATATAGTGAATGCAGGGTCCTGGGAGACATGATATAGTGAATGCAGGGTCCGGGGAGACCAAATATAGTGAATGCAGGGTCCGGGGAGACCAGATATAGTGAATGCAGGGTCCTGGGAGACCGGATATAGTGAATGCAGGGTCCTGGGAGATCAGATATAGTGAATGCAGGGTCCGAGGAGATCAGATATAGTGAATGCGGGGTCCGGGGAGACCGGATATAGTGAATGCAGGGTCTGGGGAGACCAGATATAGTGAATGCAGGTCTGGGGAGACCAGATATAGTGAATGCAGGGTCCTGGGAGACCAGATATAGTGAATGCAGGGTCCTGGGAGATCAGATATAGTGAATGCAGGGTCCTGGGAGACCAGATATCGTGAATGCAGGGTCCGGGGTTTAGTAACACTTTAAGCTGTTTAGGACAACTGCGCCTATAGTGAAGATCACCTTTAATAAATCCCCCCAGCCCCTGAGTGCAACCCAACTGGGATAATGTGTGAAACAGGACACCGACGTAGTGTAAGATCCTCAATAAAACTTTAATTTATTATTGTAATGTACTCATAAAGATCTTGGTATAACAAAATCATCCATAAAATCCAAAATATCTCTGACCAGCAAGCATAGGTATTGTCCATCAGTGTTTTACTGTCTGCATAAGCCCTGCCTCAATACCGCATCCTGGTTTACGCATCTTGAGGGTTCACCCACATCAGAGCCCCACCTTTCTCACCGACACAGCGATCTTTTCTCCAAAAAGGTCTCGATGAGCCCCTCTTCATACTGCGCATGTGCATGGCAAGCCTATTAATTGATATTGGTAAGCCTTACTCTGATGGGCCCCTGAAGGCTGCCATGAGTACAGCTTACCCATAAGAATGAAATTGGCTGTGTTACGGGGAGGGAAGGGGGGGGGATTTCTTAAAGGACAGCTTCACTAATGTGGAAAACGCCTTGATGAGACTAATTCTTTACAATCAACAAAGCTCACATCAACTAATCAAATTCCAGTTGTCGCTAATCTATAACAAGCTAAGCAAAAGCAATCCCTGATTGGTTGCTTGGAGCAACATGTTCACTTTTGTTCTTGGATTGTTCATAAATAAATCCTGCAAACTCATGTTATCAGCCATTATAGGCTAGTAAGGTACCCTAAAATGCATATAGGTCTGGGCCGCCAAGGAATGATGGCATGTGCACATTTATCAGTCATCGGACTCACTAGCCATCTTTTCTTTTTCTCATTTGATGTGCGTGTACTAGATGCTGGACCGGCTTTTATAGCTTTCTGATTGCAGTCTCTCATTAATGCATCCTGCATAAGATGTCATGGGTTATTGTTAAAGAAATTCTCCCAGGCTTGTATTTTACCTAATTCCTGTCCTAATGTTACCTATAGTGTGAGAGTTTGACGCTGTATATAGGCAAGAAATGGCTTTCTCGCATGAATTTCAATATAAGCAGGTTGAGGTGTGCGTGCTATCATTAGTTTGTATATTGTAATATTTTGCCATTTCCCTTCTAAGTCAGTTATTCCTCTTCATTATTTTCATTTTTCTTCCTACAGGACAAGAGACTGAGGGTCTTTGATGTTCGTAAGAGCACAGGAGCCAGCCAGGTACTGACCCGAGACATGAAGATGCTGTCAGATGATGTTACAATATGCAGGATGGGGGAGATCCGGGGTGTCAGGAGAACAGAGAGCTCAGAAACATGGATTGTACTGGGCATGTCCCATAGCAGATCTCATTGTACTGGGGCTACAGACATGTGATTACACGCTGCCACCTCCCTCAAAGAAATGTCACACATAGATAAGATTCACAATGCATGTCATAACAAGGCAGATTCATTCATGTGAGGACCGGCTGCTAGTCACTGGCTGCCTCTTTCCTTTGTTACCTGATGCCCTTTTCTGAATGTGTAATTGTGCATCACGCACTTTACTGTAAGTACAAGTTTGAAGTCTGGAAGACCTGAGATTTGCAGCTATTGAACGATAAATCTTTGCTTAATTCATCTTTTTTGGGCAATTCTATAGTGCCATTATATTGCTCTGTACTTTGAAGAACACGTTAACTTTTTGTGAAGTTTTCCTTTCAGGGTCTATGCACACTGGCAAAAAAACCCGCTGCTCCTAGAGCAGTTTAGCGTTTTGTCTGTAGATTCAACTAATTGTAGAGGCTTATTTTAATCTCTGCATTTAGAGGCAGAAAAAAAAACCCTGTTTTAAATTTTTGAGAGCGGTTTTTTGGCAGTAAAAAAATGCTAAACACTGCAAAATGCTCCTAAATGCTAGTACCAAAAATGCTCAAAATTAGCGTTTCTTTTTCTGCCAAGAGCACTGGTGTTTTTTTTAAGTCAGTGTGCATGGACTCTTAGGCTGGGTTCACACTAATGCAGTGCGGTACATCACGTGTGATTCGCAAAGGAACCGCACCACAATCTTCTGCAAATCACATGCGATTTGTGTGCGGTGGGATCGGAGCCATACGTTTTCTATGGCTCAAATCGCACCGCACCTGCACCAAAAAGGTGCAGGACCCTTTTTTGTGTCCGCACTAGAATCGGATTGCATGGGTATTCACACCTATGCGATCCGATTCTGCACAGCGATTTTGTGGACTGATTTCAGGGTGGTGTTAACATACACACCCGCATTGGTTTGCGTGAACAGGGTGCGATTCTGATGCGGTGCGGAATTCGCACAGAAAACGCTGCAAATTCCTCACCGCATCAGTGTGAACCCGGGCTAAATGTCCTCCACCCACCCAAGTGGCAGCCATCTAGCAAATGGCTTATCTTCAGACCTGCAGCCAAGTTCCTCATTGTGTCCCTGACCTGCACTTTGCAGCCTTTGAAAAATTCCTGGTCACTTGAAGTTCCTATAGCTGGATGGACTGTTCCTTCCTTTGGCTGGGGCTGTACTTATCTAGATGTTTGGAGGCCACCATAAGTATGGACTAGCATAGAGAGGAACTGAAGTGGGGATGAAGGTAAGTATATCCTAGGTGGCTTCCACGCATGGGAGAGGAATGGATTTAAAGGTCAGGTTCAAGTAAAGTTGGCCTTTAATGTACAGGTGTACCTTTTGTATGAAAGTACCCTGTACAGGTCCTCCCTCCCCCTTAGCTATCATACCTCAAATCAGGCCATGTATGCAGTATGGTCCCGCTTTATGCTGCCGATCTTTCTGCTGTGCGGGGCAGAATTGAAGCTGATTTTCATGTGGGTCTGTGATGCTGTGGCCAGGCGTAACTGCGGGTTCTTTTTAGCGATGAATAGGAAAGCCACAGCAGAGTACCAGGAAATGTGAAATATTGCCATACTCTGTCTGAGGTCAAATGTTTAGGGCTAATAGACAAGCGGGACTAGGGGGGACTTTACAGGATTTTATACAAAGTCCACTTGCACTTTAGGGCTCATGTACACTGCAGCTGATAAACTTACGTTTAGTTGCTGTTCAGCATTTTTTTCAGCAGCCCCTGAACTCTCCCTAATGTTTTCCTATGTGTCCATGTACACATCTTCCTTTACAGTCGTTTACAGGCATTTGAGTTTACAGTTGTTTTTTTGAACGCAGAAAACTTGCACTCAGCAGTCGATTTTATCAGCGTTTCAAACGCAAAATGCTTGTAGACGCAGCAAATCGCGTTTATAAGCATTTGCATTCAAATTTTTTTTTTTTAACTCTTCCAGTTCCCGATGCTGTCCAGAGCCTTTTTTCATCATGGAAAATGCATGCAAAGCGTTTTCAAGGTACTCAAATGGACAAAACACTGAACACAGGATGTTCCTACCAAGTTTGTCACACATTGTAATGACCAATTCACACCTCAGACCTCTCCCACCCTTGGAAACAAAAGATATGTTAATGACCATTCACACCTCAAATTCCCATGAAGACCCCCTGCCAGGTGGTCTTAATGACTCACTCCACCAGCTGACACCTTTCCCACCTTTGGACAACAAAAGAAATGTTAATGAGCAACTCACACCTAATTATCTCAACACATACTGCTGTCTCTGCTTCTACTCTCTGTATTTTTTTATTAGTTAATAATTTATTGTGCCTTTGGGACTTGCTAGAAAAATTCTAAAACACAAACGCACATACAACGTAAGCAGTCAGTTTCCACCTAAGTGCTGTACTGGGGCCTTAAAGAGACCTCTTCCCTCATTGCAAAGGGCACCAAAAAAATCAGGTATTTTAAAATGCCCTTTTTCCTCCTCTGGCAGTGTATAAAATTCACTACTCTCTACCTAGTGCCCCAGCTCCTCCATCTCTGTATAATTACCAACCCCAGCTCTCCCCATAACCATTCCCCATATTATTTATTTCAGGTACTTATATAGTGCCGTCAATTTACACAGCACTTTACATATATATTGTACATTCACAACAGTCCCTAACCCTCAAGGGGCATACAATCTAAGGTCCCATATAACATTTTATGTAGCTGCTGGGGGCAGAATGACAGGGAATGCTATGAAGCAGCCATTCACAATCAGGGTTCTGCAAAACACTAGGGTTCCTCCAAAGGTTTGGTCTAGGGATTCTTGATCTGTGGCTGATTGACCTCCCATTTGATAGTGCCTGCTTAGTTCATGGGCCAGCTGTATTTTGCAGAGTAAGCTGCAGGACACCAATGATCTTACTAGCTGTCTATAAGGTTGGCATTTCTTCCTACTGTATATACAAAAATGTGTTGCGCTGTTTACAAATATGTTCAACAGAGTAAAGTGCATTTAAATGTTTAAATAGAGTAATCAAAATATAAACTAAACGTCCCAGATCAATTGTGTTTAAAAAAAAGTCCCAATGTGAAAATAAATGATCTTAAAGCAGGAGGGCGGAGCTAAGTGGTGACGTCATCATGCTGGCTCGGGCAAGCAGCAGTTGTTAGCGCTCTGACTGTTTTTACTCTTGCTTTTGAGTATATGCCCTTATCTTAATAAATGTACAAGGGGAGAGCCATTCACTGGGATGAGAGATTTGCTTATAAAGTGCTGTGAGACCTCCCATTCAATGAGATATAAGTCTCTTGTAAGCAGACATGTGTGGTGGTGTTTGCAGCATTGGAACCGGTGGCGGTTTTAAGAGAAGTTATTTTCACATTGGACTTTTTTCAGCACAGTTGATCTGGGACTTTTACTTTATACTTTAATTATTTTAATTTAGTATTTGATTGCAATTTACTTTGTTGAATATATTTGCAAACAGTGCAATACATTTTTGTATACACTCACTGGCCACTTTATTAGGTACAACCTTTTCAGTTGCTTGGTAACACAAATTGCCAATCACCAATCACATGGCAGCATCTCCCTGCATTTAGGCATCTAAATGTGGTGAAGACAGCTTGCTAAAGTTCAAACTGAGCATC